TGTCATTGGCGAAAGACGCTTTCCCGCGTATGGACGAAGAAGGGATCGATGCGATGGTGGCCGAGAAAATGTTGCTGCTGGCCGACGATTTGGACTTCATCATCCTAGCACAGGATGATGCGGATATGTTATCATTGCGGGCTGCAAGGCACATTCACGCCAATGTCATCTCCCAGCGGAGGAAGGCAAACAAAGCAGCTGCACGACACACCGTGGCGGCGACCTCTTCCAGAATGGAGGAGGCCTTCGCTGCGGATCGTTCTGCAGGATGGCGATCTGCCGAGCGACCGGCTCGGGACGTTCCGAGCCACCGAGATCAGCCCAAGTCCTCTTGAGCGCTCGTCGTCTGCTACAATTGTGGCCTCCGGGGCCACGTGGCGTCCGGATGCCGGGCTCCTCGACAGCGCGGAGCGAGACCTGGAGCTGCGGACGGCCCTCCCCACAAGCCTTCGCAACATCCTCGGGCAAGTCATGGCACCCCACATGTTCGGCCTGCACACACACCCACTTTCCTCTCACAAGGTCCGACACACGATTCTCGGGGTTTGGGTGCCGGTGCATGTCGGGGAGGGCGCTCCAACCGGGCCAATGGTCTGAGTTGGCTCACCGGGTTGTGGCTGCATCGGCGGGGTCGTCCGTTGTCACGGGGCATATTGACGGGGTGGAGGTACGGCTACTGGTCGATACGGGAGCTTCGGCAACTATCATTTCGGATTTGATTTATAATATCCTGCCCGTTCAGAGTCGCCCGTTGCTCCCTGTCGACATACCGTTTTACGCTGCGAATGGGGGCTCGTTGGGTATTATCGGCCAAATTCGAGTGCAAATTTCTATAGGGGACATTAAACTATCTGGCCCGGTGTTCGTCTCCTCCTCGCTGGCTATTCTGTGCCTGTTGGGGACAGACTTTTTGGCCAAATTGCCCATCAAAATTCTGATTGACCAGCGATGCATCGAGCTTCCATCGGGCCGACGTATTACGTTCCTGCCTTCCACCCCTGCCTTGCATACTGCCTGTGCTACGGTACAGGCGCTCGTTGCTCGAACGGTGCGTGTACCCCCGGGGGCACAGATGTTAGTACCCCTGCGGTTGCGTCGACCGTTCGATAAAGGGGTCTCTGACCGGGGCATTATGTTGGGACCATCTAGAGCCGGGGTGAGTGGGCCAGATCTGGTGACGGCCAAGACTATTGTTAAAGGGGATGGGGACCCGTTTATCGCGGTCCTCAATGTCGGGACACGGACGGCAGTGGTTTCACAGGGTACCGTGTTCGCACATGCGGTTCCGGTACCTGCGGAAACGCCGATCATTGGCCAGGTGGCCACCGATTCTCAAACGCGATTAGCCTCAGACACTGACCGGGGTTGGCTGGAGGCGTTGTGTGCTGAGTCACCTGACCTGTCCGACGCACAACGTGCTAAATTACGCGCCTTATTGTGAGAATTTTCCGACGTCTTCAGTAAACATAAATACGATATCGGATGTACCAAATTGCTACGCCACCATATTGACACCGGTGACAACGCTCCTATCCGCCAAAATCCTTTTCGGTTAAGTCCCGCCGAAAAGGATCATGTCAAATCGGCTGTAGATGACATGTTGAAATCTGACATCATTTCTCCCTCGACCAGCCCTTGGGGTGCACCCATAGTGTTGGTTAAAAAGCACGACGGGTCCCTAAGGTTCTGTGTTGATTTCCGGTGATTAAATAAGATCTCGGTGGCCGATGCTTATCCGCTTCCTCGAATGGACGAATCGCTGGATGCCCTCGCGGGATCGCGATTCTTTTCCACTTTGGATTTGCTCTCAGGATTTTGGCAACTTCCCTTGGACGACGAATCTAAGCCCAAAACAGCTTTCCGAACGCCGCACGGCCTCTTCCAATTCAATCGCTTACCCATGGGATTACACTCTGCTCCCGCGACGTTCCAGCGCCTGATGGAATTGGTCCTCGCTGGCTTGCAATGGGAGGTGTGTTTGATTTACCTGGATGACGTTATCGTATTCAGTAAGACGTTCGAGGAACATCTTGATAGGCTTCGGGCCGTCTTTCTCAAGATGCGCGCTGCTAATTTGAAATTCAAGCCACAAAAGTGCCATTTGCTGCGCGAATCTGTTAAATATTTGGGTCACATCGTCGGCCGGTCAGGCATCTCAACCGATCCCGCCAAAACGCGTTGTGTCAGCTCCTGGCCTACTCCCACCTCGGTGGGGGAGGTTAGAAGCTTCATCGGATTTGCTTCATATTACCGCCGGTTTGTCGCGGACTTTGCTTCCATCGCTAAGCCACTACATGCCTTAACGTCAAAAGGGGTCAAATTTCATTGGGAGCCGGTGGAGGACGCCGCTTTTGTCTCTCTTCGGGATGCCCTGGTGGGGGCCCCGCCGTTAAGCTACCCCGATTTTTCCATGCCCTTCGTGCTCGACACGGACGCAAGCAATACCGGGATTGGAGGCGTGCTGTCACAAATTGTGGGTGGCGTGGAGCGCGTTGTGGCTTATGGTAGTAGAGTATTGTCTCCGGCCGAGCAGCGGTACTGCGTCACCCGCCGCGAACTGTTGGCTATCGTGTTCTTTATCCAACAGTACCGGCCATATCTGTACGGCCGGCATTTCACCGTCCGTACAGATCATGCGGCGTTGCAGTATGCCCTACGAATTAACCAGCCATCGGGGCAGTTGTCCCGATGGCTGGAGATCATGCAGGATTTCGATTTCGAGACAACTTACCGAAAGGGGATTCGCCACACCAATGCCGATGCCCTATCACGCCTGCCGATCGCTCCGGATTGCACTTGTTTCTTGGGTTCGGGCCGTTGCAAATCGGCCAGTGACGGCCGGGATCGGGTTCTTGCGGTCGCAGTTGATACCCCTTCGGACGCTGGTCCTATTTCGGGGGGAGGGAAAGATTCCCTACTAGGCTTGTCAAGTGCTGAGTGGGGTCGCCTCCAAATGGAGGATGCGACCCTCCTGGCGCTACGACGTCGCGCGGAAGGATCAGGTCAAGGGAAGTCGGGCGTTGACTCATGGGGGTGGTGCCAGGGCCTACTCATGCATTGGGACGGGACGATCCGCCGTCACAGGCTGGTGGTGCCTTCCACGTTGAGGGGTAGGGCTGTATGGGCTGCTCATGAACGGCTCCTGCACCTGGGTACCCTCAAAACACTTGCCATGCTCCAGCTTAATTACTTTTGGCCGGGCATGGCAAGAGACGTGGACGATCTGCTGCGGTCCTGTACCCAGTGTGCACAACGGAAGCCGCCAGCAAAGGGAGCCAGTCCACCGCTCCAGTCTATTTCGGTCACCCGGGTTAATGAGCTGGTCGCCCTTGATATTTTGGGACCGTTTCCTTCCACGCCGAGGGGTAATAAGTACCTGCTGGTTGGCGTGGAATATTTCACGCGATGGCCTATGGCTTGGCCCCTCGCCAACCAGTCCGCAGCAGCCGTTGCGGAGGCTTTTGTTCAGGGCTACGTCCTCGACAAGGGCGCTCCGGAACGGTTGTTGACCGATCAGGGAAAGAATTTCACTAGTACCCTTTTACACGAGGTATGTGGCCTTCTGGGTACAAAGAAAATTCGTACTTCACCTTACCATCCACTAACGGATGGGATGGTGGAACGCCTGCATAGGACTCTTACGTCCATGTTATCCCACCAGGTATCTGAGTCCCAAACCGATTGGGATCTACGGATCGGGGGAGTCCTGGCAGCATACAGGATGGCTCCTCACGCGGCGACCGGTTTTTCGCCATTTTTTTTTATGTATGGCCGCGAGGTTGACCCGCCTGTCGCGACTCAGCTGACGATTGCCGCGCCTCATGCTAAGTCCAAAATCGCGGACCATGTTAAATTTAACATCCTTCGGTTGGCGGAGGCACGGCAGGTGGCCATGCAAAACTCTGACTCTCGCCAGAAACAAAACGAGAGATTGCGATCGCGCCGGACACACACGCACGAATGGCACCCGGGCGACCGAGCATGGTTGCACTGCCCCCAGGTGCCATTGGCCACCTCGGCTAAGTTGTTGCGACCATGGAGGGGCCCCGTAGAAATTGTGCAGGTTATGCGGCCTCAATGTGTGCGCATTAAGTGGGGGAAGCGTCGGTGGTTTGTGCACCCTTCACGGTTAAAGCCATTTTTTGCTCCGCACGCTTCCTCTCACGCAAATGGCCGAACATGTGGGGAGTCCACTGACTCTGGGAGGGCGGGGTCACCGCCAGCCTCTGATCCGCTAATGACTGTCCCGTCTTCAGGAGCCCCAGGACTGAAGCCCTCTTGGCTGCCAGCCTCCCCCGTGGGGGTCGGCGCTGGCACGTCCGGGAAGCCGGACGACCAGGCACCTGCAGATGCGACACCTGCCACCGACTCTACCAAGCCGGCCCCTTGTGACGGGCCCGCTGCACGGACTCGCGCCAAAACGCGCCGGTTGTTATGAATAGCTTTCCGCGCGTGTTCCGTTGCTGCGGAACCCGCTCATTGTATATATGTTTTTTTTGTTGTTTGTGTGTGTGTGTATGGATGCTTCTTGTGCGTGGGGATGGCGAACCGCGTTCTGTATATGTGTTGCATTTTTGGGGAGGGGGTTTTTATAGGGGACCATCGGTTGTTGTTACACTTGTTCTTGTTATTGTTACTGTTACGAGGCACACGTGTGTTGACTGTGTTAATCTTTATTCTTGGGGGTTGAAGGATTGTTGCAGCCGGGACGGCTGCGAGCTGTACAGGGGGGGGGGGGGGTGATGTAGGGATTATTACGGGAGAAACGGCGGACAACAAACACAGGGGTGTCGGCACTCACATACACGGGTGGTCACACCGACGTCCGCATCCGTTATTGCCCACGCCCCCAGCCCTCGGAGGCGATCCCTATAAAAGGTGGAGACCCAAAGAGCTCGAGGCAGTTCGACACGAAGCTGACCAGTGAAGATCCAAGACTCGGAGATTAGGCCCTGGGACTCCCCGGTCTCGCCGTCCTTATAAGGGCTGAGCCGGGTAAGCCAGTGGCGCGGCCCAAAAGCTTCCAGACCGCTGCCCTTATCAGGGCAAGGCTGGTTAGCTGGTGCCGAGATCTGTGCTTGCCAGGGCCAGATCAGTCAGCCTCCCGTAGCCCAGTAGAGGAGGACTGGGGAACAGGACAGAGGGCTTAGTACTAGGGTGGGTTTCCCATAGTACGGGTGAAGGGGCCGATACCCCTTCAACTTTTGTGCCTGTCCCTGGGTTAATAAACAGAGTGTGCCTCAACTTCGACATCGTCTCCTCGAACTTACTACAAATATAACAAAAGCCGTTTTTTTTTCTAATTCCAAGAGCCGTACTGCGGTCCTTAAAGAACCGCCTGTGGCTCTGGAGCGGCAGGTTCTGCCGACCCCTGCTGCAGAGTGAGGGAGGCCTTCATCCAGCAGAGACGATTTACAATGCTGGTGCGCATGTACCGCCGATCACATTGGTGTATCACGCAATAGCAGCGTGCGTCAGCAGCAGCTCTTTCTCAGACACGCCCAGTGTCTGAAGAATTTCCGTTGAGACGATTTCTTGAAAATGTCTACATTTGTTGGCGTCACTTTTTACGAAAGCGGAAGTCATGGAGGGTGATTTGTTTTTTTAGTTTTTAAGTTCGAACAAAAGAATAATTCGTAACCATTTCGAATTAAAATCGATTTATTTTCTCATCATAAACAATATTATTTTAGTGTATCTGAGACCTCGAAGGAGGCCTAACCACTAGTATGAATGTATTTTGGGTCGAAACGGTGGTGAGATGTTAACTACCTCGCCTGGTTTACAGGCGGCCATGAGTACGATCCCGACCCCGACGCCTGCGGGAAATTGAAGTTTGCACGTTCTCCCCGTGGTCGTGTGGATTTTTCTCCGGGTTTTTTCCGTTATTTTTCTCTACATTTAGAAACAACATCATGCGTTTCGGGAATTTGGCTGCGATAAATTTCCACGTGATAATAAGCCACTTCGTTGAGCTATCATTTGTGATGGCCAGGTCGCTTCTGCAAAAAGAGCTATACAGCTCAGTGAGCCTTATCTGGTGAAATAAAAATAGTTTAGTTTAAGTAATTTGTTTATTCAGTTGTCCACACGGGAGATCCATGGTGGCGCACGACTCCACTTAAGGATTCACTCGCTTCGAACGGACGCAGCAGAGGAGCCTCCGCAGGTCCTTCATGATCTCCTCGTCCCTGACGCCATAGAGAAAGGGGCTCATGAAGCGCGGGACCACGTGTAGCACAAAGTATATCGTGACGCGAACTCCGTACAAGCCGACGGGGCTCAGGTCGAAGAGGCCCACAATGTTGTGGGCCATGGGCAAAGCAGCGGGCAGGAGGCACAGGCCCAGCTGAATTCCGTGCAACACGATGGTCTTCAGAGCCTTGGAGAAACTGCTCCGTCTCTCTGACGCCCTCTTAGCGGCGCGAGCCGTCAGGACATAGGCAATCAGCACGCCCAACGTGCACAGGACGAAGAAAGTGTACAGAAACACGTTGCGGATGATGATGGTCTCCTCCCCGTAGGGCAATTGTGCGTCGAAGGTGTTGATTTCGCAGACCGGTTCGCTGCCCGTCAGGAAGGGCGGCCCGCTCGCGAAGTAAAGGCCCAGGCGCAGGATCGGAGCCAACAATGACAGCAGCCAGATGCTGGCGACTGCCTGCAAAAATAGCAACAACAATACAAGTTCAATGTGGATGAGAGAACATACAACAGTTAAATACATAATGCCGTCTGATTCATGATGATATTTTTTTAGTTAGATCATCGTGCAGGTATAATGTAACATTTAACAGTAACCCTGCACCACCCGACAGAGGCCATCGAATCACGTCACGTGGCCAATTATACCGATCGATTTCCTTTTTTGCAACACAAATTAGAATTTCGATTTAAAGCTTTCGTGACTGCAGGGATTCATCTTATTGGTTCTTTCGGTAAAGTCACGTAGAATGGAAATAATAAAATAATAAAAATTAAACATAATAAAATAATTCTCACGACGTTTCATTCAGACTCTGTCTCATCGACAGACCTGTTCTCCCTCCACCTGAGGACGGCTACTTGCGTTGTGGCCGAAACGTCGTGAGAATTATTTAATTGTTTTATTTTTATTATTTTATTATTTCCATTCTACGTGACTACAGAAAGAACCAAGAAGACAAATTAGAATGTTGAAACACAAAGCTAAATTCTGATTTATATTTTTTCTGCGACATTTTTCTATAGGCATAACCCAGCATCATCATGTGTTAATAAACGCTGATCTGAGAATAGGTTTTCCCCTTTTTTCTGGCAACAAATAGGTGTTAAGATGTTAAAACACCAAACTGAAACTTTTTACAAGGAATCATGTCCACGCCTTTTGGCGTCCTCTGGTCTAACACCGTTTTGAGACTAGACTCAAAAGAAATCTGTCTCTGGTGTGGACCAATCAGTGGGTGACAGATGCCCACCCACCTCACTCATCCACTCACCCACCACACTCACCCACCCACTCACCCACCACCACACGGACTCGCTCACTCACCCACCCATTCACTCACAGACTCACTCACCCACCCACTCGGTGTAGCATACAATTGGCTATGTTTGTCTTTGTGAGTATGAATGTCACGACGGCACTTTGAGTGGGAAGATTTAAACAAAGCATTTACAGTTGACATACCTGCATGTAGGTGGCAGATGGCCACTCACCCACTCACCCACTCTCCCCCACCCACTCGCCCACTCTCTCACCCGAACTCTTACCGACACACTCAAACTACTCACCAAACCACTCACTTAATCACCCATCTCACTTAGCCACTCACTCACCCAACCACCCACACACAGATTCGCCCACTCACCCACCCACTCCCACACTAAAATTGTCTGCATTTATCTTCATGAGCGTGAATATCAGAGCGGTGCTCTGAGTGGGCAGATTTTAAACAACGCATTGACAATTTGACGCACCTGCAGACCAGAGCGGCGGTGCGACAGCTGGTGGTACCTGAGCGGGTGGCAGATGGCCACATACCGCTCCACGGCCATCGCCGCAACGCTGAGCACGCTGTTCACGTGCAGCGTCATGCTGAGGTTGACCTGCAGGGCGCAGAGCACGCGCGACACCCACACCTGCTCCGAGCGGAGCACGGTGAGGATGCCCGACAACAGCATGTACATGGAGTCGCTCGCCGTAAGGTTGGCGAAGAGTATGTACTTGGCGCTCTCGCTGTACGCCCTGAGGCGGACGAGGAGGCACGCCATGAGGACGGAGAGCGCGAAGGTCGGCACCCAGGTCAGGGTGAGGATGGCGTAGACCACGAAGCGACCGCCGTTCCAGAAGGGCGAGGGAGGCCCTCCCGCGTGCTGGGTCTCGTTCCTCAGGGACTGAGAGCCATTCGCCGATGGCCCCACTGCGCTGGCCATGGCATGCGCACACGCAGAACGTCGACGACGATGGTAATGCTATTGCTGCTGCTGATGATCTGCGGCAGAACGAAGGTGTACACGGGGCAGGGTGGGGTAAACGAGAGAGGGAACGCGTTACGAGGAGTTACACAGCGAGAAGTGTCGGGGGCAGTTTGGCAGTTATGCTGCGCGGGTGATGCTTGCATTGTTGTTGTCCTTCCGTCCTCACCTCCGATTATCACGGTTGGCTACGTACGGTGCGAAAGAAGTTCAACATACGTACATAGACTCACACAGAGACCTATAGACTGACACGGAGACCGATAGACTCACACAGAAACCCATAGACTTCCACAGAGACCCACAGACTCGCACAGAGACCCATAGACTCGCACAGAGACCCATAGACTCACACAGAGACCCATAGACTCACACAGAGGCCCAGAAACTCACACAGAGACCCATAGACTCACACAGAGACCCATAGACTCACACAGAGACCCATAGACTCACACAGAGGCCCAGAGACTCACACAGAGGCCCAGAGACTCACACAGAGACCCATAGATTCACATAGAGACCCATAGACTCACACAGAGACCCGCAGACTCGCACAGAGACCCATAGACTCGCACAGAGACCCATAGACTCACACAGAGCCCCATAGACTCACACAGAGGCCCAGAGACTCACACAGAGGCCCAGAGACTCACACAGAGACCCATAGATTCACATAGAGAACCATAGACTCACACAGAGACCCGTAGACTCGCACAGAGACCCGTAGACTCGCACAGAGACCCGTAGACTCGCACAGAGACCCATAGACTCACACAGAGCCCCATAGACTCACACAGAGGTCCAGAGACTCACACAAAGGCACAGAGACTCACACAGAGACCCGTAGACTCACCCAGATACCATAGACTCACACAGAGACCCATAGACTCACACAGAGACCCATGGACTCACACAGAGGCCCATAAACTCACACAGAGACCCATATTTTGGTGTCCTTCCCCCCACACCTCCGATTAGCACGGTTGGAAATGTACGGTGCGAAAGAAGGTCAACATACATACATTTATAAAGAGAGTTTTGTCATTCAGTGATTGGTAAATTCAACAACAATTGAGCCCTACGTTCAATCACTCGTGGATAAAACCAAAATTTGGTCCCAAATTCTCAGCGGTTCCGGCTCAAGAGATCTGACCCCTTGAGGCACCCGGCAATCGCCCGTTGCATAACAAAGACCCAATTAGTTGTCGTTGTGGAAAAAGCCGCTTGACTTGCGTGTAATGTTTAACAGCTGTGCCAACCTTCGCCAAGATGCGCTCTGTAGGATGCGTTGCCTTCTTTAGTTGTCATGCCGTTGTCTTCCTTAACCATCATTCACATCACCCTATCTAGAGAAACCAAGACCAACGTACTTTTTGTTTTTCTCCGTACTTGTTGCGCACTCTTCATCTGTTAATTTAACATGTAGTAGGCTTTCGCGACCAATATTATCCATAATAGAGGTTTTTGGTATAGATCTCGTAAATACAAATGTGTTGTTAAACCCATCACCACCCGACACCACAACCAATCAGTAAGGGTTGTCACGCATGCCAATTAACTAGTTAGTTAAGCACTAACCGATAGTGTGTTGGAGAGTAAACCCACTGCAACATTTACAATTCGAGAACTGTGACGTTTCGCCGGTAATTACAACAACCAGCATCATCAGGCGACAGCCATAGTTGTGGAAAATGATTCTCTCTCAGTCTTAAATAGCTAGATTTGAAGCTTTCGTGAACGCATCGGGAGGGGGCCCCGCCCCCCCTCCCCCTCCCGATGCGTTCTACGTGGCACTTCGTGCCGTCTTTGAGCCCCGCCCCCCTCCCCCCGATACGTTCCATTCATTGGCTACCACATTCTGATTAGCTCCCCCCCCCTCTCCTCCCCCCTCAACTTGCTTTTAAGGGATTACATCTTGAATCATTGCCTCACTTGATGCAGCAAATCTGGCTGTGACGGTCCCACCTGATGACGGAGACTTGTGTTGCCTCCGAAACGTCGTGATTTTTATTTTATTTTACTTTTATTAATTTTAATGTTTTAACTACGTGACTTTACCGAAAACACCTAAGAATATCTTAAATAGCTGTTGTATATTTTTTTCTACAGTTTTATTTAAACCAGGTAAGGTCATCACTGAGCTGCTGCTTTGTAGATCCTTTTCAGAAGCGACCTGGCTATCGTAAATGATAGTCCAACAAAGTGGCTGATGTCATCAAATACTCGAAACGCGTGAAGTTGATTCTAAATGTGGAGGGAACAACACTGGAGGAACCAGAGAAAAATCAACGCGACCACGGGGAAAGAGACATGCAAATTCCAAATATACAGCAGGCGTCAGGTTCGAATCCATGAACTCCTGTATAACATTCTAGATTTGAAGTTTTCGTGACTGCAGGGATCCATACTCTTTGGTTCTTTCGGTAAAGTCACGTAATTTTTCTTGCTGTGGTTATCACACCGGATGATGGACGCCTCTGTTGCGCCCGAAACGTCGTGATTTAATTTATTTTATTTTATACCTACGTGACTTCACCGAAAGAACCAAAGAGTTTAGATCCTGTATACCAGTCGAGGTAGTTGACATCTAGCCACTGAGGTGCCCATATTATGGTAGTAAATACACTTTTAGTGGCGTTGGAGAGAATATAACTAACAAAAAGAAGTGGGTGCCACAAATACGTGTGGGTTGATGCAGACTTGATGCCTTGCAAAAATGTAGCAATTTGGTGTTCGAACATCTTAACATCTGTTTTTTTTTCCAGAAAGTGTAAAAGCTATTTTTATTTTGATACTGCCAAAAAGATCCCATTGTTATGTCTTTCTACTGTTCGTCTTTTGGCGTTGTTCTCTTTTCTAGCACTGGTAGTGAGACAAGGCCATAAAGAAGGCTGTCTCTGGTGTAAGCCTTAACATTATTATCAAACCATGTTTATTTGCATGTTCACTACAAGTACCGGGTGTGGTTCATGCAGACTTGATGCCCTGCAATAGGTATCTATTTAGTGTTTGGACATCTTAACACAACTGTTTTATTGCCAGAAAAGGTAAAATACCTAATCCTAGAGGCAGCGATGTCACCTTCCGCACATATCCCCTTCTCCACGAAAAACAAATATTACAAAAGCGTTTGTTGCACAACGCTATCGGAAACACAGCCTTCCTGGAGTGTGCAATATCGGCAGTGCTTGACTCAAGACAAGCAGAAACTCTGGACCAGACTCATCAGCAGCATCACAGCCTTGCTTGCATTTATGCTGGTAAACGGCCAATTAATTATGTTTTCCTAAAGCGCGGTAGTAATTGCGTTCCTGAATAACACCGCGTTCTGGAAAAAAAATATCGAATTCTAATTAATAATATATAATATAGGGTAATGCATAGTCCGCGTTGAGATGCGTTACGCAGGCTGAACAAAGACTCAGGCACATGGGTAGCATCTAGAAGCATCCAGCAGCGTCCCACCTTGTGTGAAGCTGCGCCGAGGCAGCCGTACAACCGCTAATTCCTACTCGCGCAATGTAGTTCCATTGACTCGATCGCGTTATATCCAATTCGCATCCGCGTTATGAAATAAGTGTTCCCTAATACATTCATCGCGTTATATCCAGTTGGTGTTATGAAAAAACGCGTTATAGGAGAGCAGACTGTTTTGTACGTGTATATTGAACTTCTTTCGCACCGCACGTAGCCAACCGTGCTAATCGGAGGCACGGGGGGAAGGACAACACACTTCACACAAAAAAGCAGTTCTGAATAAATTAGTTTTCAATATCGATAATTTTAAAGTGCACACCTCCAGTAGCTTCTTAATTTCGGAAGGAAGAGCATTCCAGAAGGCCGCAGAAGAACATCTGAAAGCGCGCGATGTTGTGACCATTTTTGTTCGATGGTTAGCCAAAAGCGTGATGATGGTTTATTTTCCTTGACAAGATCATCAAGGTATTGTGGTTAATATGTTGCAAGAACTTTGTGTGCAATGAGTGCTACCTTATGTTATTAGTAACTAGGATCTTTCTCTACGATATGGGCGACAGTTCTACGTACAATCAGGTGGCTCAGGTATCAGAGTGCTGAGTTGGCACTGATGTGAATCTGGATTCGTTTCCAGGAAGCCACTTGTGAATTAATCTGTCCCGGTCAAAAACAAATGGCATTAAGGATCCTTGCAGTCACAAAAAACTTCAAATATAGAATGCATTAAGGTTGTTGCTCTAAATAATTTCATTAAATTCCATTTCTGAGACTAAAACTACGTGGTTTTACGAACATTATCACTATGTGTGGTGACAGAGAGTGTGGAAATATCGTATAGATATCAGGATCTTTATTTATTCTGGAGAAATCCGATGAGCTATGAAGCCCTTATTTCACAGATCGATGTATAGCATCACCGTTGTGTGGCAAGGGCTGGAGGTGACTGAGGCCGCCCTCTGTACTGAAAACCTCATTCCCCCTTTAAAGACTGAAAGTAAAATCGCGTCGCTGCAGTTATCCCTCCCCCACGTTGTTCGATTGCGTAAATATTAACATGTCGTTAAACCCGCCACCACATCCTGACACGGCCAATCAGTAAGGTTTTCCACGTAAAAAAAAACGTGGCAATTCGAGTACAGTGTCGTCTCGCTGGTGATTACAACCAGCTTCATCAGGCGTGAGTGAACGTGCGGAACATCCCAGAGTGATTAATGGCAGGGTCTTTTGGTTACTCACAAATAGCCAGCGGACCATCATCTCCATCGCAGCTCGAAGCTGCTAAGGCAACGAGTTGGGAGCGGTGGCGCAGCAGTTAGCGCACCACGCTACGAGCCTGGCGAACCGAGTTTGATTCTCGTTCACAGCCAACAACAGCGGTTACAATAATTTGAAACGGTCTTGGGTCTCCCCTAGGTCGACTCAGCCTCAAATGAGGCTGAGTAAATAAAACGTGCCAATGAGTTGCTAGTTATGCAAACCAACCGGTTGTGTCTTTAAGAGTAATGCCACAGCATTTGCAATTCAAGTACGACGTATCACT